GATTTCAGGTGATTCAGTAAGGACTTCTGTTTTTTCGGGAATTGATGCATTCTGTGTAAAGAATAGGAAAGTGATGGCAGATGGAAATTGGATAGTGCTTAAATAGAAGATTCGAAATATACTGCTGTCACTCTGGAAGACATTAGATGCCATTTTTCGAAAGAACTTCACCACGATCTCAAGGGAAAAAATTGGTAATTGAAGGCAGTTAAAATTGAGATTGCGGTTGGCAAAGGGACTGGATTACTAACGCCACACTAATGCTTTGATTCCAAATGTGAAAATTAAATGAGGCTCAATAAATATCCTTATGAACATTTAAATTATACTTGGTTGATAGTTGAAGATTCAATAACTGCTTTCTTTACTGCACTATCCATTTTTTTTGAAACAGAAAAACAGTATCAGCAGGTCTTACTTAAGCCACTTGCATATAGGAGCAAAATAGAATCTCATCCATGTCCACCAGATATTCTTGTTTTATCCCATCCATTCCTCTGGAATTAACTGTCTTTGCATAATTGCATTGCACCCGCTCATAAAGAAGACAGTGAAGTTGCAACTGTTAAACTGCTTAGAAAGTGGTATTTCTCCATCTGTTTCATGGGTATTTATGCTTCATTGTATTAAGATGCTGTTTACTTGCTATACAATACAATTTATGTGTCTTGTCTTTCTATTTCCCATGTGTTACTCAAGAATGTCCCAACTTCAAAGGTCATCTTGTAACAACTTTTTATGATTATGCTGGTTTGGCAGGGAGGAGATTGGTTATGATGGATGGAGGCTTGATTTTGTTCGTGGGTTTTGGGGTGGTTATGTGAAGGATTACTTGGAAGCAACTGAACCTTATTTCGCTGTGGGCGAGTTTTGGGATTCCCTTGTTTATACTTACGGAGAGATGGATCACAATCAAGATCCGCATCGGCAGAGAATTATTGACTGGATTAATGCTACTAATGGAACTGCAGGAGCATTTGATGTGACAACAAAGGGAATTCTTCATTCTGTAAGTTTTTCAAATTTTACTCCTTGCACAGTGGATGCAATACTTGACCGACAGTACTTAATAAAAGGAAGGATTGGGAAATCAGTTTTTCTAGTGTTAACAGCATTCTCTTTCAAATTCTATGTAATTAGGCAATTGAAAGATGTGAATACTGGCGACTATCCGATCAGAAGGGAAAACCTCCTGGCGTTGTTGGATGGTGGCCATCTCGTGCTGTTACCTTTATAGAGAATCATGATACAGGTTCTACACAGGTAAAATATGCTCTTTAGTTATCAGAGGACTGAAGAGGCTCCTCTTTTAATCTTGATCAATGATAAAAGGGCTTTTATGAGGAGACAGATAGTTCAGCATATCCACTGGCCTGAACCAACAATATGCCTTTCTTGGTCATTCAGTTAATTTATTACCTTTTTCCTGCTTAGTGTGGTTGGATCCCTCAAGCATGAGAGCTAAATGAACTCTTGAATCCTGGGAACTACCTACAAATGCTATTTACAGTTAGATATCATGATGAAATGTAACCCCTGTAGCGTTTCTATTGGCACTAGTGCATAGCTGCGACCACCATTAGGAAGAATAGTTCTCCTCGGAAATCAGTGAAGAAACTAAAATCCTAGTCGAGCCTAGTCGTCAACTTTGATTTTCTTTGGTTTCTTTGCTCTTGATGTTCCATAATTTTCTTGTCGATATCTTAATAGGCAAACGTTCTCGCAAACACAAGGCTGTAAAATTCTTCAGCGTTTTTTTTTTGTGGTACAGAACATCTCTCTCAGGTTCCATTTGGACTCATTGACTTAAAATCCATGCATTTGAGCTGAAAAAGTGATTCACATATGAACTAATGGGGATAATTGTAAATTTTGAAATGGATTTTGTCTCCCAATTTAGGTAGCACTCCAAACTCTTCCATTGATGTTTTTCAAATCTTTCTTTACATTTTCACAAGTATTTAGAGTTTGTAGTTGCAAATTTAGAAGTCCTCAGCCGGTGCAATCAAATAAAATTGGGACTATTCTCTTTATTTTTTTGGGTTACATGGCCTTAGTTTAGTTCCATATTCTTCTTTCTCATGCTGTCACATCTTTAGGGCTTGTCATATGATCTCCTCAATAGACTTGTAATTGATTGTTGTAATAACCGGTATCATAGAATAACACTAAGCATAAGATCTGACTTGTTTTTCATCCTTATTATTTTTTTTTTTCTGTATCTTGGGCTTTTCCTTGAAGGGTCATTGGAGATTTCCTGGTGGGAAAGAGATGCAAGGTTATGCCTATATCCTGACTCACCCTGGAACCCCGTCAGTCTTCTTTGATCACATTTTCTCTGGTTACCAACCTGAAATAGGAAATCTTATATCACTCAGAAAGCGGAACAAGATCAGCTGTCGGAGTATGGTAAGTCTCAAAAACTATGTTGAGCTGCAGGTTCTTTTTGACCTCTGTGGTTAATTTCAGCTTAATATGAAAAGTTAAGTGGTTGATTGATTTTGAATGAATAGGAAGGTGAGAAGAGGAGAACAAACATTCTTCATATTTCTTCAGTTAACATACTCCTTTCCCGTATTTTCTGTTCTGACCAATCAACATGAAACCAACTCATTTTTAAAATTGCTCTATGATACAGTAAAATGACCTCTTGAAAAACTAACAAATGTATATTACATGCATGCAATACATGGAACCTTTGATGCATTTTTGGGAAGTATCAGGTTATACGTTTTTCATAAGGTGAAGAATTATACATCTAACAGAAAGTACATCCGGATGGTATTTTTGTTGATGAATTTGACACATATATTCAAAATGTTAACAACAGTAGAACTGGTATTTGCCAGTTCAAATACCAGTTCAGCTGCAATCATTTTTCTCTCTGTACCCAGTTACTAATGATTCCTTAGTAATTCGAATACTTAAATACTCTCAAACGAGCTTTTTTGTTGTAAAATTCTGTATGACCATTATCAAGATATCCTTTCCTATTATGGATACAGAACCAATAGTATTCCTAATATGCTAAGATTTCTGTCTGATCAGGTGGTAATAACAAAGGCCGAAAGAGATGTTTATGCAGCAGTTATTGATGATAAGTTGGCTGTTAAAATAGGTCCAGGCCACTATGAGCCTCCAACTGGGCAGCAGAGATGGAAAATGGCTGCTGAGGGTAACGATTACAAGGTTTGGGAATTGTCATGAAAACAATCGCCTTCTTTCCCTGTACCAATATACTACTATTCGTAAATGTTTGGGGTAAGCATTGCAAATTTATTTGCCAAAGTGACTGGAGATGGAAGGAGTTAATGTCGTAAGAAATGCTGTACTGCAGCGGATGTGTTGTTGGAGTAAAAATAGCAAGAGTATGAATAGTCTGGTAATAATTGCTGTTAATAGTGTTGTATTTGGAGAATCCCCATGTACACTATACATAGTCTGGTAAAGATAGTATATGATATATACCACTACATTGTATTGCCTTTTCAGAAGATAAAGAGGCATTGTAAAGAACTTCTGTACAACTTATTTGCCATATTGGCGATAGACACTTTTTTATCGTATAAATACTAGAATGTACCTATTGATGTATTGTATTTGTAGTACTATCAAGCAATCGCTATGTAAACAATTGAGTTGCTGGTTCAGCTACTGAATAAAAAGCTCCAACCTTATTTGGACAGAATTTGTAAAGATTTGAGTTCACTTGATGAGATTAGTATACTGAATATGTTTAGCTTTAAAAGGATTTCCTAATGTTGTCTAAGAAACTGAGGAAATATAGATGCGAATCGAGGATCTAGAGTTATGGGTTCAGAATGTATAAATAAACAAGAAAGGGTCCAAAAGTTTACTCGTATGAATATTAGCCCTTTTCTTGTTTAATTATACAAAATTCGCCTGTGAAAGTTCAAAAGTTTGATAAAAGAAACTCTGGAGAAGGGTCAAATTTACCTCTAATATACGAAAATCATCAATTTTATCATACTTTGTTGTTCCATCAGTACAAAAAATACCATGACATTACTCAAGTGGCTTGAATATAACCCTTCTCCGTTAGAGTAGTTCAAGGTGGATACTCAATCTCACGTGACACTACATTTTCGTGTAGTAGACACACTGCCTCGATTCGTTTTACCCCTCCCCTCCACCTCTTCTACCATCATTAGCACCACCATAGGAACCAACTGTGAAGAGAAGTTCAAGATTCAGATGTGTTAGAAGGTGCTATATACATATTCAGATATCCTCTTTCAAAATGGTTGATTTAGAAGCAAATATTGATTCAATAAGTCTTAATAATTATGTAGTACTAAAATGAAAAGGAGCCTATGTATTGGTGGAAGAAGAAATAGAGGGAAGGGAATATAATAAATTGGGACGGCGAGGTGACATGTCACGTGTTGTTCATCTCACAAAATATAGTGTCACGTACGATTGATTGTCCACCTTTGAACAACTCTAACGGAGGAGGGTTATATTTGAGTAACATCAAGGGTATTTTTTGTAGTGATAATATAACGGATGATAAAATTTACTTTTTCACAAATTTTACCGTGAACAAAACCAATACATTTATAAATACAAAAGAATCGCTGAAAAACATATGTTTATTATAATTATAAATTTATTTTATTATACCGTTAGAACAATAACATAGATCCGCTTTTATTGTTTCCCATTTTATTAACATCCTTTGACTTGTTTTTTTTTTATAAAAAAAATAATAATTCAAAAGTTAGTTAGTAAAAACAGTTAATTACAACCTCAAATTATTATTTGGACATCCTTTTTTCCCGCAAAATTTAGTGTTATATATATGTGTTTATTTAGTATCATTTTATTCCCAAGCTCTGGGAATTCACCTGCAGTTAATAAAATAAAAACTACCAAATCTTGGGATTTCCCCCCCAAGGCTGCAGGTGGTAGCAGAAAAAAAGACAAACAAAAACCAAAAAAGAAAAAAAAAATTAAAAATATTTCTGCTACCAAAAATAATGGCCTCTATTAGTTTTAATAATTCAGTTATTTTTCTGTTTTCCCTTTTATGTTTTATTTCTATAATCCCAAAATTATATGCCAATATTGCTGATTTTGATCCTTATTTGGAAAAAAGAGCTGAAGAAGCTCTCCAATCTTCTCTTGCTGCTTATAATGAAAATCCTGAGGCAGTCACTCAAATTTTCAACAAAGAAGTTGGAGAGTAAGTGCTTTTAAAATATTGATCTGACGTTTCAAATCATGTATATATGTATCTTTTTCAAGACACGAGGTTAGAATATTGTAAAGAAATGAATCTTGTGTCTAATCAATCCCTGATAAGGAGAGGATTGTCAATATCATAATACATAAAGTATACATTCCGATTATGTAGGGACATTTTGAATTGTTGAATAGAGTGTTCACTCTACCCTTCCGAGACCCCACTTGTGGGATGTATGCTGAATAAAGCGTTCACTCTACCCTTTCCAGACCCCACTTGTGGGATGTATGTTGAATAGAGCGTTCACTCTGCATAGATTGTCAAAAGATCCTATTTTTAACATGAGTTATTGTGTAAATGTTGCAGAACAATTCTCAATGGCACAAGGAGGCATTTGAAGGAAGAAGATAAAGAGGACAAGAATGAGAAGGTTGAAAAGGATGATAAGGAAGGTGATGAAAAAAGTGTTGATATTTGCAAGGCATACAATCCAATTGACAAATGTTGGAGATGTGACAAAAACTGGGCTAATAACAGGAAGGCACTAGCAGATTGTGCTAGGGGATTTGGTCATGGTACAACTGGTGGTAAAGATGGTAAATTCTATGTTGTAACCGATCCATCGGATAACAACGTGGAGGAACCTGTTCCTGGGACCCTACGTCACGCTGTCATCCAAGAGGAGCCATTGTGGATCATCTTCGAGAAGTCGATGATTATCAAGTTGAAACAAGAACTTATGATCAACAATGATAAGACAATTGATGGCAGAGGAATCTCTGTTCATGTTGCATATGGAGCTGGACTTACCTTACAATTTGTGCACAATGTGATTGTCCACAACATTAGAGTTCATCACATCCTTTCTAAGGATGGTGGTATGATTAGAGATTCTGTCAAACATATTGGTCTTAGGACAGTGAGTGATGGTGATGCTATTTCCCTTTTCGGTGCTAACCGTATCTGGATAGATCATTGTACTTTAACCAAGGGTGCTGATGGACTTGTCGATGCTATCATGGCTTCCACTGCTATCACCATTTCTAACTGCAAATTCAACCATCACAACGACGTAAGTTTTTCTCATCTCACATTTTCAGCTATGAGCCAGACCTCAATAGGGAGTTGTCAATGTGTTTAAGCTAATAACAACAAATGACTATTCAGGTTATGCTTTTGGGAGCAAACGATGCCTTCCCTCAAGATAAAATCATGCAAGTTACAGTTGCATTCAATAGGTTTGGAAAGGGATGTATCCAGAGGATGCCAAGGTGCAGGTGGGGTTTCTTCCATGTTGTCAACAACGACTACGCCAAATGGGAAATGTATGCTATTGGTGGTACAGCTAACCCCACCATCATTAGCCAGGGTAACCGTTTCAAGGCTGCCGACAATCCCAACACTAAAGAGGTATATCTACTTAACATTCCAATCACATTTTCTTTTATAAAAGTAGTGTCCGTGAGGTCAGCTTGCACCCACCTCGACTATTTCACCAAATACCTGCTACCTCCAATCAACACATATATCAGATAGTATATATATGTCTACCAAGGCTTAAGCATATATGACGAGATCACTTAACATTCTTGTTCAATCACATTTTCTTTCATAGAAGTGGCATCCATGGGTCAACTTGCACCCACCTGGACTATTTCACCAAATACCTGCTACCTCCAATCAGCATAGATACCACATATATCTGACGAGATCACCTAACTTTCTTGTTCAATCACAGTTCTTGATATGTTATATTAGATTGTAGCATAAGGCCAACATAAACACACTTAAAACATCATTCTCGCCTTATTGCATTGTCAATTGCTAACATAAAGTATGCTAAAATGAAGGTGACAAACCGGAATGGCGCCCCAGAAGCTTTGTGGAGAAACTGGCAATGGAGATCCGAGGGTGATTTGTTCAAGAACGGAGCCTTCTTTAGGGAGTCTGGACCAGAAATCAAGAGCACTCCATTCACAGAACATACCACAATCCAGTTTGAGCCTGCTAAATTTGTAGGCAGACTCACTCGCAAGGCTGGTGTAATCCAGTGCAAGATTGGAAAAGCATGCTAGGCAATTTATATGTACATGATAATAACAATTATAATACATAAAACATATTGTACATTTCATTTTTGGGGTTGACGTGGAGCCGAACATTATTTTTTTGGGGTTCTTTTACAGTAAGAGAAGAAGAAAATGGCTAAGACATCTATCTGTTTTCTCTGTTTTTTTCGACTTTTGCTTTATTTCTTCTTCCTGGCTGGTTTACTCTATAGAGGAAACAGTGAGGAGGGGGAAGAAAAGGAAAAAAGTGGGTTCTCAAGAGCTCAAGTTTATTTTTTTGTAACAGAAGTTTTGATTTATGATTTCTAATAAATGTAAATTTCCCTCTTTGAATTTCAATATAGGCTACATGTCTCCCCAAGAGTGAAATTAATTGTAATACAACCTATTCTATTACTTAGTACTCCCTCCATTTCAATTTGTTTATCTTTGACTTAGCACCGAGTTTATGAAAGTAAAGAAGACTTTTGAATCATCTAAAGATACTTAGAATGTAACAAAATGCTCATTAATCTAGTGGTCTTAAACATAGACACACAGATTGAAACGGAGGGAGTACATGTTTTCATGCAACAAATACTCATGATATTTGTAACAGTTTTATATTCAAGACAGATTTTTCCATAACCTTAGAGCAAATTGATCCAAAGTTTTCAATCGAACAAACAGTTAAAACGAAGAAATATCAGAATTGAATGGGAGATCGATCACATGTACAAGCACAGAAGAAGAAAAACCAGAATATTGGATTAAACGAGATATGTGAACAAAGTCGAAACATCAGGGATTTCCTTACAAAGAACTATCTGCTTTTGAAGTTGTTTTTATGAAGACATGTCCTGGCATTGTGTCCTTTTTCTAAACACACGCTGCAGCTATAAGTTCTCTTTACTCGAGTCTTGATTGTTGCAACAACTTTAGTGTCGAATTCATTCTTTTGGTGGCATGTTCTTCTATTATGTCCACTTCTTTGACACTTGCTGCAATGATGATTAACCTTAACTGTCTTTTTCGGTACAATTAAGCTCAACTTTAAGCAGGTTCTTCTGTTATGACCCTTTGTTCCACATAATCCACATCTATAATGTCTATCCGTATTGTCTCGAATTTCTGGACAGTAGTTACTCCTATGCCCTTCCTGTCCACAATGTTTACAGTAAAATTTCACCCCTGCAATTAGAAAATGACAGTAAGATGTTGCGCCAGAATATCAAGATTTATGTGCAGTATTTATGCTGCACAAGCCAAATGGTGAACTAAACTTATTGTGACTAGTAAATGAAGGGGAACAAGAATAAAATCTTTACATTGTTTTCTTTTTTCTTTTTCTTTATACCATCTCGTTTTACGTCCTGTATACAGACAAGCATTGAGACCATGATGTAGCTCACGAAGAACGTAATCTAGCTTGCACGTATAGTTTGTTGTGTTGTACATTTGTGCTAATGATGCTAGTCAGGTAGCAAGGAGATAGCAAAAACATGATTAATTTAAGTGTGACATGAGCAAAAACTTTATAGACCTTTCATGGATATGCTTCTCTTGCGGCGGTTATCTGGATCGCGGAAGTAACTTTTCATGGATTCCGAGGCACGTTTCCTAGCGGCAGGTGTCCCCTTTGCTTTCTGCATAACAAGTATCATGGCAAGAAGGTGAATGTACTATGAGCTTATGGATTAGAGCGATGCATATCAAGCTATAGTTACACATAGCTAGAGGTTCATCATTCAGATATGAAATTGGCAAGTCAAACCTTAATAGCAGCTACTCTTTGTGCATGAAGCATTGGATCGCCATGGATAATCTTCATCCTTTTACTAAATAATCCAGTCTTGGCATTTAGGCTCTGCAATCATCCAACTAAACAAAAAAGATTATATTCAAGAAATGACAAATCCGTCAAAAAGTTTAACATTTCGCATGAGGAACCAAAGATCATCCAAATGAAAGGTTCACGACTTTGTCCAAGCAATCGTGGTAAAATAGAAACATCAAAACAAGAAAACCAAGTGACAAAACTCTGATTGAAGAGGGTGCTAACAGAAAAATGAATACTAACTTTTAGTGATCTGCTGATCTTCAAATTGACTTCTGTGTTGGGAGATTGATAGACACGCTTGGTTTTTCTTTTCGCGTCAAGCTTTATGTCTAAGTTGTCCACTTCATCGTCTTCCTTTACTTTTAAAGGGGAACTGCAAAGTATCATGTAGATTTTTATATAGCAAAGTTACCTAAATTTGCAGAGAAATATTGCTTCTGCCTTCTATAATATAAATTGGAAGAAAGAACAATTATAGCACAAGATGTCTAGCGCAGAATATAAAACAAAAGGTTACTTTAACTCCTTCGACTACATAAAACAGAATGCCATACTTAAGCCAAATGTGGCGATGCAAACATGTTGGTACATATTGAGAGTAGCACAATGACGAAAACTTGATTATTGAGCAAACATACATGCCGGATGTAATAATATTACGACGAGAAACACGTGGCTTTGGCAAAATGGAATCTAACTGAAACTTGAGGCGGGAAATATTACCTTGATCGAGCTTTCTCCCAAGGCCGTTCATCGATAGATTCTTCCCAAATGACACAATCTCCACCACACTGATGACAAGTTATCATACCCTGCCGTAAATGAAAACTTCTATTAAGGACAACTCTTATACAAATGAGCATCACATAGATACTCCAACTTACATGTCAAATGTATATACAGGTAAATTTTAGAGCTCAATAAACATGATCTACAAAAACAGTTACCTTTCCGTTACACAACGAACAATCTAAGTTGGATCTCTCTATTCCACATTCAGTACATGGAGTGTAGCCTCTTCCTCTACAGCTTGGACAAGGCAATTCTCTTATATACTGGCCATTTGGGCCAAACCATGATCTCGGACTCGATGCACTAGAAATGACCTTCCTGGGAAATGATTAAAATACAGGTCAAAGATGGATAGTTAGCTTGCTCAGGAGATGATTATGAGTAAATACACGAAAGAGGGCTTCTTATCATGAGGATGGGGTATATAGTTTGTGCTTCAATAATCGAAATATCCAGTCTATGTAGTTTTCCCTGTCTTATTAGCAAGAGAAAAACAAAAAGTATTGTTGTTTCAAGGACTATTTCAAGAAGAAAACTTCAACACCCTAAATTAAATTTCCGCATTCAATAAAGAAGGAAGGTGATCATAATTCAGCACAAGAATTACCATTAGTTAGGAAAAATTACAGAAATATAACAATATAGATTTAAGGAAAATACAACAACAATAACATGCCCAGTGTAATCCCACAAGTGGCGTTTGGGGAGGGTAGCATGTACACAAACCTTACCCCCTACCTTGGGAGGTAGAGAGGTTGTTTTCAATAGACCCTCGGCTCAAGAAAAGGCATATCAAAGAAAATCGAAAAAGAAATAACAGAAGTGAAGAAATCATGGCAAAGCATTCAGGATAAAAAGGAACAGTAACTACAACAAAATAGTGTGATAATCAAAGTACAAGAGACAGTAACAGAAATCGGTGGACATGAAACTACAGGAGGAATACTACGACTACCAGTATAGATTTAAGGAAACTATATTACAACAAAAAGAAAGAAAACATAAGGTCATTGACAAACTCTAAAAACTTAACAGAGAACACAAATAGAAACTCTACTTCAGCAACATAACATATCTCATGATTTAATACAAGCAATTAAACAGAAACAAAAGAACAAAGCTAAAACCTTGGCTGTAAATCAGCAGCAAGTCCAAAAAGCTCCTCTGAAGGGTCATACATAGCCTATCAATACAACATGTTAAATGTAAGCCCTCTTATGATAATGTGTTCCAAGAAACAACAGGTTAATATCACTTAGGTCATTTAACTATATACTATAATGTTAAAGTCACAATGTCATTAAAATAATTTAATTTTATTCAATATAACAGTTAAACTTTACTACTAACACTAAGGGGGTCGTGTCTGGTAGCTGGTAGTGGTTAGAATTATGCAAGTATTAGTTATACTAACATTAGTTATACAAGTTTCTATATTACTAAACACAATAATTTTATACATGAATAACTTACTTCCTAACTATCTACCAAACATTGTATAACTTATGTAAATATTAATACATAAATAAGTTACCTCTTTACTAGCTGCCAAATAAGCCCCTAACAACAACAACAACAACAATATATATATATATATATATATATACCCACTGTAATTCCACCGATGGTATATGGAAAGGATAGAATGTACGCTAACCTTATCCTGAGGTAGAAAAGTTATTTCCGACTAACACTAAAGTCACAACTAAATTTTGTTGAACTTAACTCACTATTCAATGAACATTAGTCACAATTAAGTAAAGTTACTAAAGTTTACTCACTATACATAAGTGATTTATACTAACACTATGTAAAGTTACAATCTTGTAGCTATAATGTCATCCTTTTTAGTGTGACAAAAAATAATTTTGTGACTTTAATTTAAAAAAAGAAGAAAAAAAAGGGAAAAAATCTCAGTACCTGATTTTGTTTGATGGGTGATACAGAATCATCATTATTAGTGAAAGAAGGTAAAATGGGTAAATAAAAGAAGCTAAGCTTAGTTTTTGAAGGTGGTAATATCCAATAATGCAAATTCTTGTTACAATATCTCCATTGAGGCAACATTGATGACCATATTGTTGTTGACATTGTACATAGGATTTTCTTGAAATTGAAAGAGCAAAGGAGTAACTTAAAATGGAGATTTTTTTTTTTTTGTTGATGTTTTTTAAGGAGTTATGTGGATGAAGAGGAGACAGCAAGATTTATTGTTTTATCCTATGGTTTTGGTGTCATTTTTTGTTTATTTATTTTTTGTGTGTGGATAATGTGGGAAAATTACAAAAATGGTCCCTTTATATTTGAGATTGGTTCAAAGTAGTCTATTAAGTATATTTTTATGTACTTCTGATCCTCTAAATTTGCTTAAGTGACCTTTTTTGGTCTCGATCAAATATTTAATAAACTCTGATGGTTGATTTAGTGATCTCAAATATTTAATAAACAGG